TCTCTCTCTCTCTCTCTCTCTCTCTCTCTCTCTCTCTCTCTCTCTCTCTCTCTCTCTCTCTCTCTCTCTCTCTCATATCGCTACCCACGGCAAGCAAGGCTCGATGCTCACAAGAATGCCCTTTTGCACTACCCACAAGAAGCAAGAAGGCAATGGCATCACCACTTGAATACAAACCCACACACGGCCACACACGGTCAGATATCAGCGTCAAGCACAACCCCTCTTTGTCCACGCTGCTAGCGTCCCCAGACCAACCCTCTCCACAGTGCGAAAGGGAACAAACGACGGGTCCTACCGTTCACATACCTAAACCGTCGTGCTCCGAAAATGCTGCCGGCAGCAGCAGTGACAACTATTGCCGTGAGAACTTGCCCGGTAAATGCGAACTTTTCTTTGTCTTCCGGTACGCTTCCTGCGTGAGAAATTTCCAAGAATATTCCGCGCGTGGGAGGCGGGGTTCCCAGACGAAGACGCATCAGCAATGGCGGGAGCAGCAGCTTCATGTTTGGGAAGTCATGCTCAATGGTTCATCATCCCTACAGGCAGCTAGCTCACTCAGGGTAGCTAGCCCTACCGTCGTTTGCTTGTGGGCGTTGTCACATATCTTGCTATGAAAAAAACGTTCCGGTCTCTGGTCAAATCCGAGCATCCACGGTAAAACACGGTAGTGAGAAACGGGACGCTGCCATGCCACGTGCTGTGAATCGAGCGCACCATCATCCAAACAGCCGACAGACCACTCTCTAGACTGCATGAATCCCCCTCTATGTGCGCGTCTCATGTAAATGGGCGCAGGCAGCTTTGGATTATCTGTTGGGGGTGTCATGTGACGTCAAGGGAAGGAAAACAGTTAACGGTAGAGGGCTCCTCAGTTGTGCCGGCGTGGACCAGATCACTTCACTGGTACTATTCAGAGGGATGGGCACTATTCAGAACAGGGATACATACCGTATATGACACAAGATAACACACCCCCTGGACCGAGTTTCAAAGCTCGATTACTCCACGACGAAGAGGATGAATAAACGAAACGATACATTTTCGAAAAGCTTTCGACGAGACAAGTTCAACGCCGCCGTTTTCGGCGCTGTGACTGTTCCTGAAGTTGAGAAATCGAGCTTCGAACATTGGTCAAGGGGGTGTGTTATCTTGTGTCATATACGGTATGCAGCAGTGGACACTGGTGCCCAGAGGTTTGACCGGCACCATGCCGGGAGTAGGAACTACTCAGCCGGCACTCCTGAGAGCCCTCTACCGTATTCCCGGGACAACCAAAGCGGGTGTATTTGCGTATTTGGTGTTCACTGCTCAGAACCGTGGCTTGGCTACGGTAGTGTCAATGCTGCCCAAGGTCTGTTTGGGCTTGTGCTCATCACGTACTATGTGGCAGCAGTTTGTGCCGGGTATCGTGACACAAGGAGGTCGGCAACAGCGGAGTATCTGGTACTCCAGTCTACTGCTGTTGTACGTAGCAACACCGTGTGGAGCGTGCGTGTATTGTAAAAGCCTCAGCATGTTGGCATTATCGCCCTGTCAACACATCACTACAGATACATCAGGCTATTGTACACAATGTTTTTTTGAAACCAAGACTAGACTACCGTAAACTACGGAGTTTTCCCCCCCGGGGAGGGGATCGTCTTTTATATAAAACCACCCCCCCCGGGGGGTAATTGACGTACCGGGGGGGGTAGTTTTTTTTTTTCCAACGCGACCCCTGGGGGAAGCCCCACCCCGGGAGTTGTGCAAAATAATTATGGTCCACACACGCCACACACAGAGTGACGAAACCGAGATGGATAAGGTTTTTGGTCCGGTCGCAAGAGAGGCACCATTGCCTAAGCTCATGCACAAGAATTCGCAGTTTGTTCGCAGGAATACGATATTTTTACGGTTCGGTTCTACCTTGAGTTGTGAGATCCAAACCTGAATACGATTATTTGTTCCCTTTGTGCGCAAGGTTTGTTTAGCATGCTATGGTACGTTTCAGCTGACTCCAGGGGTGATAAATGCAAGAAATAGACAAGAAAACGAGGGCATTTCACCCATCAAACAACTGCGAGGGCCAAGTGACAAACGGTACACTTATATCTCGCTGAAGCGCAGATCTGCATTTTTTTTTTCTTAATATGACACAACGAATCCATCTCTATCGAAGAAAAGAGTCCAAGACAGATTAGCAATGAATACATAGCGTTAGTGAAGGCTACCTGTTTCCATGATTTCCCGAGCAGCATACAGCGACATCTCCCCCGTGGGTAACAGGGTCAACAAGACATTGTGGTAGCCGTTTTGTGCATCTATCTGCATGTTACGCTGGGAATGTACGGAAGGAAGTCTTGCTTTCTCCGTCCCATATCATATTTTTGATGCTACGCGATGCAACAAAATCGACTCAGAAAACAAGGGACATCACATCCCCGCATTCGTGGGAAACTGGCACCCCGGGGGGATATTGAAATACCCGGGGGGATTTTTTTTTTGGTCGAAAACGATCTCCCCCGGGGCTAAATCAACGAAACCATCCTTCCAGGCCGAAAGGGAAATGGGGGAGGGGGAAATCTGTACTAGGGGGGGAAACTCCGTAGTTTACGGTAGACTACAGGATGTCGTGAAACCAGCGGCAGCAGCATGCCGTGGGTGACCTAAGATATCACACCCTTTGGACTGTTTTCGAAAAAGCTCGACTACACGGCAGCAGCAAACACAACGACGGCGCCGAATATGGCCGTGTTGGAACCTCCTCGTCGAGAGCTTTTCCGAACATGTACATCGTTTCACTTGTGCATCCTCTTCCTCACGGAGCGAACGAGCTCTGAAAGATTGGGTCCGGGGGGTAAGGTTTCTTGCGCCATGCATACGCAGGACTGCTATGCGATACGCGTCTCCGGACGGGAAGCTACCCAACTATACAGCTCTACGCGCTTACCATTCGATCCTCCCGCTGCGTTCGACCCTTCCCCCTGCTCTGCTGCCATAGCTCCCAACCAGGAGCCAAACGCAGGAATGTGTTGCACCTGCTTGACGGGAAAAGGTGCCATGTGGGTTTCAAGGCAACCGGCGTTCCGCCCCAGGGAAAACCCATCATGAAACGTGAAGCACCAGGCAGCTGGGCGCAGAGTAGGAATGCAGACATAGGAGCAGGGATCCACAGACGCCGATTACCACCACCACGACCATGGCTCCAGCTCTGCAGCAGCTGATCCTCTTCCTCCTGTCAGGTGTCCTGCTCCCCCAAGATGCCTGGTGCTTTTCTACCAGCATCAGCAGCGGGCGTGCGAATCCCCCCGCCTTTTCCGCGAGGAGCCATGGCCGAGCCGCGATGATGATGATGGCGAAGGAGGGGGATTTGGTGCGAGTGTCGCTACCGAAACCGCTAGGCATCCAGCTGGAGGAAGTGGTCCCGGGGTCTCCGGGGGTGAGGGTTGCGGGCGTGGTGGAGGGGGGGACGGCCAAGGAGAGCGGCGTAAGTGCCATCATCGCCATCGTGTGCTTATTCAGCAGCAGCGGCCTTGTCATGTTTTTTGCTGACTGGATTTTTTTTTTTTATTTGACCCAAACGAATTTATCTCTATTTTACCCAGCCCTCTCTTCTGTGAAACTGTGGGGAGCACACAGGCGTACGGCGGCTTCGCGACCAAGCATACGCCAGTAGTCGCCGGGTTCGAGCTGCTCCTGTTGCTGTTGCTGTTGTGGAACAAGATTATCATTAGGAAAATACAACGGCACGGCTAAACACCCCACCGGTGGGTTGGTTGTCGCCTCAACACCCCACCAGCTATGTCTCACTCTTCAAGACTCCACTCAGCACAGAACTTCAACGAATGTGTTGCTGCGTTGTAGGGCTATCATTGGGCCCATCGTGAGGTCGAAATCGCACAGTTTTGGTGGTGCCACGGCTGGTGGAGAACATACGCCGTTGCCGCACTGGTGAGGTAGATAACGTTGTTGACCCCACCAGCTGGATCTCTCTTCAAGGCTCAGATCGACACACGAATGCCGGTACGAGTGTGTGGTCGACGCACGCACAGTAGTACACAGCAGCGGGGAGCAGGCGAGGCGACTGGCAGATGAAGCATTCCCGCAACACAGCTTTACACACACCCAGTGGAACCAAGCACCGGCTTCTCATTGGTGGGGCACATTGCCTTGCTTACCCCACCAGCTGTGTGTCGCCACACAAGACTGAGTCGACGCAGGACATGCTCAGCTTTGTTGCTGTGCTGAAGGGCTGTCGTATGACCCATCGTTAAGCCCAAAGGGTTCCGTTCAGGTGCTACCACATGGCCGGTGACGTAAACTTCGGATGTGCCCCGCCGGTGGGGGAATTGTGTCTGGAATTACCACCCCATGGACATGTTCCAAGGCTCCGATGGCCACACAAGAATCGTAGTAGAGGTGTACAGTTCATGCATGCACAACACACATCAAATTCTATTCCGAAAACACCCCAAATACTCACGAAAGAAATTGAGCAGTGTTTCCAGGCCCCGGGCTGTCGCACAAGCCGTCCTTTGGCCGAAACCAGCATGTGGTGCTCGAGGTACGCCCAGGAATGTGGCCGCAGCACCGACTCGGCGGCGTCCTAGATAAGCCCATGTTTACAACACCCCATGATTCTTTCGGAAACACCTCCAATGGACACAAACCAAAATTGGTGTATTTCAACGGCCCTCCGCTGTCGCTCAAGCCATCATTCGGCCGGAACCGAAATGAGGTTGCCGAGATAATCTCAAGAATGCGGCCGCAGGATCCCCTCGGCAGCGTCGCAAGAAAGGCATACTTACGACACCACGCTAAATCTACGAAAACACATCCGATCGGCACAGAACCATCTTTGCTGTGTCCCCAAGGCCACGGCCACGGGCTGTCGTGCAAGTCGTTTTTCGGCCGAAACCAACAAGCGGTTGCGGCTATACATGTAGGCCTACATGTTGCATTTCTTAAGACGGCCGAACGAGGGCGCACGGTGGATCGGCTACATTATCCATAGAGAAGAATATCACCATCGCTGCACGCAATTGATTGGCAAGCAGTTTCGTCAGCGCGTTGGCCGGCGTGGAGCACCCAGAGGTCCGCTGGCGTTCGTTGTGGAACGGCCCCGACAGGCAAGACGTAAGCGTGAACCTCGGTGGCAGAAGGAGTGGGGGGCGCAAGCGAGGGTACCCCGTCTTTCGCGCGCAACCGTCAGCAAGAGCGTGCGGTTCGAAACTGCTTCGGACGGTGCATAGGCCAGCAGATGTTATTTTCCTTACCTGTCACAGTTGGTGTAGGTGTTTCTCCGAATACCAACGAATCTGCTGCGAATTGTATGGACGGAGGGAGTGAAATTTATCACGCCCTTTGCCATGGAGTCCTATCTTTTCACGGGCATGGTACCATATTGCCTTGGATTGTCGTGTTGGGTTCGCATTACATTTTCAACAGTGTCGTGATACTGAAATGCTGAAAAGGTAGTTGTCGGGGCCTCCTCGAAGCTGAAAGTGAAACGCATGAATGACAATCACACCCTGCAAAGTCATCCTTCGGATTCGATCATACCAGAAGTATATGCAGAATCGACGAGTGACGTTCTCACGTAAAATCAAAAAGTGCAACAACACGTTGTGAAGGAGTCCGGTTTCGGTTTCACACCGGAGCTTGGGAATCCGAAGGCTCTGACAATGAACGTGTTAGGCAAGAATGAATGTTTATGAGTGATTGAGTGAACTTCGTGGAGAGTGTATGTCCGTGGGGCTCAAATTCTTCAAATACCCATACCCCACGAAGAGTTGCGTTTCAGTACATATCGGTTCTTAGGCGAGAACCTCCTCGCTTGCGCCCCCCACTCCTTCTGCCACCGAGGTTTACGCTTACGTCTTGCCTGTCGGGGCCGTTCCATAACGAACGCCATTGGAACTCTGGGTGCTCCACGCCGGCCAATGCGCTAACGAAACTGCTTGCCAATCATATGCGTGCAGCGATGGTGCTAGCCTTCTCTGTGGATAATGTAGTTGATCCGCCCTGCGCCCTCGTTCGGCCGTCTTAAGAAACGCAACATGTAATTCTACATGCATAGCGGAATCCGCATGTCGGTTTCGGCCGAATGATGGCTTGAGCGACAGCGGAGGGCCGTTGAAATACACCAATTTTGGTTTGTGTCCATTGGAGGTGTTTCCGAAAGAATCATGGGGTGTTGTAAACATGGGCTTATCTAGGACGCCGCCGAGTCGGTGCTGCGGCCACATTCCTGGGCGTACCTCGAGCACCACATGCTGGTTTCGGCCAAAGGACGGCTTGTGCGACAGCCCGGGGCCTGGAAATACTGCTCAATTGTTTTCGTGCGTATTTGGGGTGTTTTCGGAATAGAATTTGATGTGTGTTGTGCATGCATGAACTGTACACCTCTACTACGATTCTTGTGTGGCCATCGGAGCCTTGGAACAGGTGCGAGGTCCATGGGGTGGTAATTCCAGACACAATTCCCCCACCGGCGGGGCACATCCGAAGTTTACGTCACCGGCCATGTGGTAGCACCTGAACGGAACCCTTTGGGCTTAACGATGGGTCATACGACAGCCCTTCAGCACAGCAACACAGCAGTTGAGCATGTCCTGCGTCGACTCAGTCTTGTATGGCGACACACAGCTGGTGGGGTAAGCAAGGCAATGTGCCCCACCAATGAGAAGCCGGTCTTTGGTTCCACTGGGTGTGTGTAAAGCTGTGTTGCGAGAATACTTCATCTGCCAGTCGCCTCGCCTGCTCCCCGCTGCTGTGTACTGTGCGTGCATCGACCACACACTCGTACCGGTATTCGCGTGTCGATCGGAGCCTTGTAGGGTTACATGCAGTAGTGGCTTTTTCGTGCAGCTGAAGAAGAGTCTGCCTGCGAGCAAATAGCAGGCAGAGTTCGCTACCCAGAGGTGTTAGGCGCTATGCAGCGGGATTTCTTGACCTGTTTGCCGCCCCACGTGCTGCCCGCTGCTGTGCGCTGTGCGTGCGTCGACCACACACTTCTATACGTGTTCGTGTGTCGATCGGGGCCTTGTAGGGGGAGATCCAGCTTGTGGGGTCAACAACGCTATCTTCCCCACCAATGGGGTAGCGGGCGGTATGGTCCCCACCAACCGTGGCACCACCAAAACTGTGCGGTTTCGGCCTCACGATGGGTCCAATGATAGCCCTGCAACGCAGCAACACATTCGTTGAAGTCCTGTGCTGATTGGGGTTCTGTAGAGCGAGATACAGCCGGTGGGGTGTTGAAGCGACAACCACCCCACCGGTGGGGTGGTTAAGAAATTACCCCACCGGTGGGATGTTTAGCCGTGCCGTAAATACAAGCACAGAAAGACCACAGTCTTGTGCGTGCGTTTCGTGCGGCGACTCTAATGTGACGCCTTATATCACCCCCGTGGTATGTTTTGAAAAAAAATATTTGTACGAAGTATGCTACAGGACAGCTCGATAGCTAACCGATTATTTCCGATCAACTCGGCCCAATCACCGATTCTTCCCGATCAACTCGGTAAAACACATCTCAATCACCGATTCGATCCGATCAACTCGGCCAATCACACCCCAAACACCGAAACTTTCCGACCAACTCGGCCAAGCAATACCCAATAACCGATGCTTTCCGACCAACTCGGCCAACCACAGCCCAATCACCGGTTCTTCCCGATCAACTCGGCCAAACAATGCCTAGTCACCGATTCGATCCGATCAACTCGGCCAATCACAGCCCAACCATCGATTCGTTCCGATTAACTCGGCGAAACATAGTCCGATCACAATTTCTTTCCATCAACTCGACCAAACATACCTCAATCACCGATTCGATCCGATCAACTCGGCCAAACATACCCCAATCACCGATTCTTTCCGATCAACTCGGCCAAGCATAGCTCAGTCACCGATTCTTTCCGATCAACTCGGCCAAACGTAGCTCAGTCACCGATTCTTTCCGTTCAACTCGGCCAAATATAGCCCAATCACCGATTATTTCCGATCAACTCGGCCAATGACACTCAAGCACCGATTCTTTCCGATCAACTCGGTCAAACATAGCTCAATCACCGATTCGATCCGATCAACTCGGCCAAACACACCCCAATCACCGATTCGATCCAATCAACTCGGCCGATCACACCTCAATCACCGATTCTTTCCGATCAACTCGGCCAAACATACCCCAATCACCTTTCCATGAATTTCAGATCGCCATGGGCCAACAGGCGCAGATCACCTGTGTACCTATCTCCTACCAATCGCAATGGATCACCCTTCGAAAGAGCTACTGCTGTAGCTGTCCGATGTGTGTGGGGAACGTTTTTTCAATGATCTTTTCGGAAAGGACGTCGGGGTCATTGTTGTTGTTATTGTCTTCACATTGATATCCGTTCCGGTCTCCGCTCAGTACCTTCTAACGTCTATACTGGTCCAACTGACGCGGACGCCTTCCGTGGTCACATGCCAACTGCCCCCCAAAGGTCATACGATCGGTTTTAGAGCGTATATCATGGAAATTTTCCAACGGTGCGAAAAAGATCATTGGAGTTTAAGAAATTATGCTCAAACTCACAGAACAGCTACCCGTTCGAGATATAACCAATGGCTCTTATGATATTCTCCATTCAGGAGTCCACAGGAAGACTACCCGTTCGAGATGTAACCACTGATTTTAAGAAAAATACATGAACTCAAAGAAAGACCACCCCATCCGAGATACAACCTCTGTCGAAAGGGATGTGCTGGAGTCTTTCCAGTGAGTGGAGGGAAACCGGCAGGAACCCGGGCTTATTTTGAGTATGTTTATGCCTATGCACTGCACTGTACCAGTGATACCAGCTGGTCCTAAGAACAACGCATCTGGAAGGTAGGTACATTTTACAGCGTTGGGTTCTGTTTCTTGTGGCGGGATCGAGGATCGCAAATCGTACGTTCGGGGGGGATAATTGTGGAGGCGTCGACATGATTCTTTGGCGTCGCACGTTTCGGTAAAGGAGTGTGTGCGGTTCACTGAGGGCGGGATTGTTGCAGGCACAGAAAATATATGTATCTACGGCGGTGCGGATATTTAGACCTTATTTAGCAGCGATGCCGAAAGACGAGATGGTCATGGTGAGACCGACGTCATCTCGGACACAACCCATTCTCGCGTCTAAGCAGCTGGATGCTGACAACAACTAGCGTGGTCGGCGTGCGACGAATACCACCTCTGTTCCCTGCACCACTAGCGGCTTCGTCTGTAAGGCACAGCTCGACGTCGTCTTCTTTTCAAGCACCCCAAACAACATCCCGTTTCTTCTTGGAAGTTAGCAAGCGCATTCTTGCAACCCCCGAAGATTTTTGCCCCGGCTACAAGGTGTCCATGCATTGAAGGCCCACAAAGTGTCCACCACCACAAGTCCAGCATAACCGCTCCACCGTAAAGCTTGTTGGTCCCGGTCCCTTGTTGGTCCCGGTCCCGTGACAAGTACACATCGAACCCAGCACATGAAAATTCGGTCGGGAATTCTTTCCACCCCTCAACTTCCACAACACAGGCATCACACACAGCATGGTTTCCCCACCCACCCGCACCTATCCCAAACGACAGGAGATCGGCGCAGACATGGTCCTGTTGGAGATCGGCGGGAAAGACATCACGGGCGCGACGTTCGACCTCGTGATGGACACCCTCGTCGCGGCGCCGGCGGGGGTACCCATCGATCTCGTCTTCCGCGACCCCTCCGCGGCGGCGCCGGCGGCGACAGAAGCACCTGAGGCGCCGACCCCGGCTGTGGCGATGGGAGTTCCCTGCGAGCTCACGGTCGGAGGCGTTACTCTGGAGGCCAAGACGGGGGATAACCTACGGAAGACGCTCCTCGCCGGGAAGGTGGAGGTGTACGACATGGTCGGGAAGGTCGGTGTCTTTTGCCGCAGATCGGGATGGATGCACTCACAACATTTTCGAAGATGTTTGAGTGTATCGTATTTTTTTCGAGGCGTACAAGGGTTTGTTTTCTCCCGAGCCTGCGTTGGCGTGAAAAACGGTGCCTCTGCCGGTGCCGCGGATAGCGAAAATAGGGTTTGCCTCATTTGCTGCTTGCTTCTGTCCGAGCAAGATGAAGGAACTGTGAAAATTGTTGAACCAACAGCACAGCAACGTGCAGCAAGCGGCAGCGGCAGCAACAACAACAACGGCAACGAGACCTACACATACCCAACCACCCAAACAAAAACTGAAATGCCGTGCGTGCTTTTTTATTCCCGTGTGAACTATTCATCAGATGACTAACTGCAATGGAGGGGGTCAGTGCGGCACTTGCGTTGTGGAGATTGTCGAAGCCGAAGGCTGGGATCCGAGGAGCGAATGGGAAGCTGGAAAGCTCAAGGTGCAGCCAAGTCTTGTTGTGCGGCCGTGCGTTGCATTAATGAGAAAACTGCTTGCTTTCCTTCTCTCTTCTTGGTAGGTTTGAGATTGAGATTAAGTTCCCAACGGATGCGCCCGGCTGAGACAAGCGCAAAACAAATCCGCTCGCCCCGCTACATCCCGGCGTTCCTATGCGATCGTTGTTGCGACTCGTCCCGCTCTATCCCGTCCCAATCCGTTGGTTCCATCCCAATCCCGTTCCGTCCCGTCCCGTCCCGTCCCATCACCCCTCTTTTCGGCTCGCCTCCCCCTCCTCGAACCTGTTTTTTTTTTCGAGACAGGGTCGACCGGAATCCCAGCGGCTGTCCTGCCAGACGATTATTCAGGGGGACGCTACTATCGTCACAAAGCCCCCGAAGAAGTAGGCAGACCACGGTTCCCCCAGAGGGCTTTGCTAGATTTTTGTTTCCATCCCATACTACTTTGGACGCGGTTAAGAATATACCTTCCGGTACAAATCTGGGCACACCAGCCGTGGTCACACATGTGTACAACTGTACAAGTAGGCGCCGGCCGTGGTCTTTGGGACCATGCTTGGCACAAAAGCTTTCGCCGCTGCACAGGCACGGAGGCCGGGGGGAGGGTGGGGGTGTGGGGGGGCGTACTTTCCGAAGACGGGGCCCCCTCAAACGGGCAGGCCGGCGCAAGCTAAAATGTCAAAACCTCTCGAGTCTTTTCGCGCGTGTTCTCGGTGTGGAGCAGTTCTGGGTCTCAGCCTCACTAGCACGGAAATCACGTTTTGCTTGATTCGGAGCACGGAAAGCACGTTGTTTTTGTTTGATTCCCGAGCACGGAAATCACGTTGTTTGTGTTTGATTCCGAGCACGGAAATCACGTTGTTTCTGTTTGATTCCGAACACGGAAATCAAGTTGTTTTTGTTTGATTCCGAGCACGGAAATCAAGTTGTTTTTGTTTGATTCCGAGCACGGAAATCACGCTGTTTGTGTTTGATTCGGTGCGTTTGGGTGGGAATTTAGAGCCAGGGTGCCGCGACACGTTCGGGTGCTGTGTCTTCCTCCGATAACACCGCGGCGTTGACGATCGAGAAGTGACGGTGTTTAACGTGTGCCATCGGGGGTCCCGTGGGGATCGCGTGCTGAAACGGTGTCATTGTCCGTGTGCATGTGTGGGTGCCACGTAGCTCAAGCGGGGGGGGGGTTACTCATGTTTTGCATACCCTAGTGGTTAGACCGTTGACCACGCGCCCCCGAGAGGACGGGGGGGGAGGGCTTGGGGAGGGCTTGGAGTTGCCGCAGCAAGTAGATGGGGACTTGTCACAACGTTTTCCAGTCGATTAGTATATCGTGTTTCACACGCCGGCACCGCTCGCCAACAAGTAGTTTATTGTGGAATGTGTATGGTCTTGGATCAATGGCAATCTTGTCTAAGGTGTAAGGACACTTGGGGGAGCTCCAAAGTTTATGGGCTGTATGTTTGTGGTTTACAAGCTTTTAGGAGTTAATGGAGAGAGCGGTAGAATTATCAGTGCGTTTTGAGATTCGCTGTCGGCACCGCTGTAGAGAAGGCGACGGACAAGGGCACGCCCAGAGAGGGCCGTCCAGAGCTCTTAAGCAGTGACGACGGGATTGCGTCTACATTGTGCTTGATGGTCGCGTTCATCGATAACGGTCAGTCTGGAAGGCAAGCATGTTTGCCCGACCGACCGCAAGCTCTCGTGGTTCTCATATACAGGATTGAGCAATGGTTTTGTAGAATGAGAGTTCGGGCTCGTTGATGGCAATGGGTAGCAGGAGCAAGCAATTCGGGAGTAAGTTGCCCTTCATGGAGAGCCGAGAGGCCTACCTACATGGAGTTGAGCGTGGGTGGGCTCGATTCTGATGACTTCGAGCCCGACCAGGCAACACGATTGATCGAGCTGCATAATGCGCTGGGTCTTAAGTTCTACAGCGGTGTATTGGATTTTCGAGTGTCGAGTCAGTACAGCCAGTCGACGCGTCCGGGAGTTCCTACGGGAGGAAGACTGGCAAAGCGCTTTTGGTCGTGTAGTGTTCGCAGTAAGGGCGATGCGGAACCCGAGTCCCTGGTACTCCTCGTGAAACCACTAGGGCTCCTCTTTTTTTCCAGGCACGGAGGGATTTTTTCCCGGGATTTGTTTTCAACAACGTTGCGGCGGAAAGCGATCTAGGTCGTGATAAGCACACTTAACTTCGACTTCACGGTCGAGGAGGGAAAGGGATGGCTGAACCCTTCTCGCGATAAAAAACAAAAAAAATAAGGGGAAGGTGGGGCAATACAGCAAACAAGAAAAACAATAAAAAGGGCTCCTGTGTGACGTTCCTCTTGTGTGCCCCCGGCTGATACGTCAGGAAAATATACGCCGAAAGGCCGGTAAACCGGCGCCAGAATAGATGGGACGGGCACACACACAGCGAACACTAATCAAGGCGCCAAGCACGGTAGCCCAGTGGTTTCCGGGGAAGGGTATACCCCCCGCGGCAATACCTCAACAAAAGTACTTCCCAGCAAGACCGGGAGTTACAAAAGTCCCCCTTTGGATGGGGAGGTAGACTATTATTTTTCGTGTGCCTGATATCAAGGGGCACACCGAACGCGAGGGCCTGCACCTCTACATCTAGTTCTCTTGTGGCAGCAACGCGCGAATCACTCAACACACACATAGGAAAGCAAGACTTTTCGAGACACGCAAAAAGATTGGGCGGCTTGGCGTCGATATTACCCACGTTCGGGAACTTCCGTACTTGTGTTGTTCTCGCCGACACGCGAAGAACACACTAACGACCAAATGCAGTCATGACGGTGAAAAGGGTTCTGGCTCGCCATAATTGAAAGTATATATATCAAGTGAGTAATCCTTGCAGTCAAGTCTCTACCGACTTTTGTTGGTTCTGATCATCAGAAGGCCGCCTGAGCTACACAACCGTGGGGGTTCCGCCACACAACGCACACACGCGCAGACTAATTGCATGGCTGCGCGATCTTGCCAGGGCCGAAAGTGTATCAAAAGATTCAACAACACGACCCAAACCAAGACATACCAGAACACCACCAGATTGTGGCACTACATAACCACGCAAGAGGTACAATTATCCTCGTTATATTCCCTTGTAACAACAAATCTCATGCCAATTCACAGAGGAAGGCACCCACCAATACACAACGGACAACCTGAGACACCGCGCTTGCAACGTGCCTGCTCAGAGTGTTTCGCAAGATTCATTGCGCGTGTGTTGCAAAGCGCTACGTAATAATGTTCCACCGGGCACGTACAAAAAAAAACAATCATGCGCATCAAACAAATTAAGCGCCGCCGGATCGAAAAAACAAACAAGCAAGCGCATCATGCACATCAACTAAACTGGTCGCATCCTACCTCTCATTCGGGACGATACACCCTACATAACCGCTGGTGGGGTAATAACCGCAGGGATCGGGTGCAAGCTACAAACACGCACAAACGTTTTTGGCTGTGGCTGCCTTGTCGAGGAGGTGAAGAGCATCCGCGAGCACACGAAGAATTGCTTTGAACCAGAGCGTTCCAACATCATCACCGAAAGCAACCATCAAATACCGGCACGGATTTGTGCGCCGGCCAAAGCACCGGGCTTGTTTCCCCTGGCTCTAATCCCTGATTTTGCGAGGGGCTGAGGGAGAGAGAAATACACGCGGTACATGTATCAAGGGCACTTGAAAAAAGGGACGTGGGCAACACCAAATCTCAAGTTTGGCTGAGGTTGTTCATGGGCAGGCACCCTGTAGGCTAAAAAGCAAAGTTTGATACACCGTGCAACGAGCAGGCAAACAACAATGCACAACCCACGGGAAGGCTACATGCGGGGAAAGGTAGCCGTAACGCCCAAAGGCACACAAAAGCCACAAAACATGCACCCATCCTCACCGCACAAAACCAGACAGTGTACAAACACGCCGCCCGGCGCCATATATACAACTGAGGAGACAACGTAACACATCATATCACACATGCCAACAAGAAAATGTTAGGGCGTGGGTGGCGCCGGAAATACAAACCACCGTTAAACGCCCGCCATCCTGCTAGTGCCACATTCGTTGCTACAATTCTTTTTTTTTGGTTTACCACTAGAAAATGCCCGAGGTATCTCCTATCCCAACAACCCTAGCAACCCCGTCGATGCATGCATGCGCATTTGCGTGGGGCAGGGGAATCGTTACAATCGGTTGTGTTGGAGTTTCAACCGCCAGAAGCTGATGGTGGCGAGTGAAAAAGCTCGGCCTTCGCAAGCGTTCTCGAACCCGCCGCGTGTGGTGATGAAAAAAAAAAAAACGAAGGGGAGTACGTAGATACAGCCGTACCTCCCGGGGCACGCCCGCCCTAAAATGTACACGCTAAACTCATCTACGTGAAACGCACTGCATCGACCATCGCCTCTTAAACACCAAACCCCGCGATTTGCTTTTCCGAGCCGACAATCGCGCGGCTCGTTCCAACCACAACGAGCCTGAGCACCCTTCGCCGCCCATTCTATGCGTTTTGTTCGTGCTAGTGCCGCCTACCTCATCCATAAGCTCGTCCATAACAGCAGTAGTTCAGCGCGCGCGCTCTCCAATAGTGGGCGCCGCGCCGCCGTGCCACCCCCCCCTGCCTCCATGCGACTCGCCGAATGCCCCACTGCGCTTCGCGCATGGTTATGTGCGCGCCTGGTCCGGTGAGAATCGACCTGGCGCGCTCCGTCCCGGCTTCGTAGGGATGCGAGGTCAATGGTCTAAAGATTGCACGGTCATGAGTACCCCCGATCACGCCTCTTCGTCATACTGGTCCCGGAAGTCGACCTCCGCAAGACCGTCCTCGTCGATCTCCCCGTCCGATAAAGTTCCATCCAGGGGGACCCCATCCATGCCGCCGCCACCGCCGTGGGGCCCCGTGGCCGTCGCTACCGCCCCCGTCCCCTGCCCGGGGGCTACGTGGCTGCCCTGCCCCCCATACACGGCGAGAGGCTTGCTGTAAGGGCGGTCCGTTAGCGCTGTCGTCAGTGCTGCTTCTACCACCTGCCATAACCGAGGGGTGCACATGCGTTTCGTCACAAGTGCGAAGANGGGGGGGGGGGGGGGGGGGGGGGGGGGGGGGGGGGGGGGGGGGGGGGGGAGTAGCGCAGCACATGGTGGATTTCTTGCCTTCGGCATTACCGCTGCGAGATGTAGCAAAAAAACACGTGGGAAGTTTGTTCCCTTGTGACCACGAGGTGCACAGTTGCGGGAGAGGAAGGGGACACCGATCATCTGCGACAAAACACGAACTTATTTTGTCAGCAGAGAAACAGGGAAGTGCACAGGAAGTAACCACACTGGGCAGGCGGGCAAGTTCCGTCGATAGATGATGGTATGTAGCAATGCTTGATCTGCCACGCCTTGTGGCACCATAGCCCCTCCCCTTGAACATCTACTCTTCGTTCCAGATGTAGGGGTCGGTGCGGTGGTATTTAGCAAGGCAGGCGCTTTTAGCGAAACTGGATACCACGCAGCGGCTTGAAGGCTCGAGGTGAAGCGCCGGCATTCACAAGACCGGTCTCAACAGTGAGCAACCACGGCTGTATATCCAAAAACACGCAAAAAAAAAGGAAAGAACGCCGCCGCCGCCGAATCAACCGGCCGGACCGTAACAGCTGTTCGAGAGACCTCGTGCTGCTCGTGCATGCGTTTTCTGCCTCTATGTTCTGTTCACCTCTAGTTCTTAGAAATGTAGGTCTAATCAGTGAAAACTACCTGTTCGACAAAGTATCCCTGCCGAAGGGATATCTCGATTCTGTACTATGAATGGAGACACAAACCTGACGATTACAATACGGGGCTGACTTTGAGTCTGTTCTATGCCAATACACCGAAAAACCAGTTCATAGTGCAAAAATGATGAGCCCTGAATTCGTATATACTTCGAGAATAAAAAAATACTGTTCTCTTAACAAAGTTAGAAAAACAAAATTCCAGAAATCTCAAGTGTACCAGATAAACAAAATTCGCTCTTTCTCCTCTCTATCCAAACCGTCAATATTTTACTCCTCATTCTCCTTCAAATTGAAAAATATATTTCCTTTCAAATTGTACATAAGTTTACTCTTATTCCCCACCTGCGCGCAAGTAGCAGCGGATGTCGGCTGGCCCAACTTTCGAACGAGGTTCCTTACAAACGATGGGGGGGCGCTCGGCGAGAAGAGTAGGCGGTTACGCAGCGACTCGAGGGACTCGCCCCGGCACTCGGTCGTGGCTATCGACCTGACCTCCAAAAAAGGAGAGGAAAAGGAAACAAACAAAGGAATGGCAAACAATTTTTTGTTTGTTCACCAATGGTGATGATGACAGTGGTGTTCGAAATCAGTGACGAAAAAGGGGTTGTGTCTTTTACTCAAGCTTGCTTCCGAACGGTTAAAAAATTTCCAACCAGAGCGGCTAAATAGCTCCTTCGGTATCCCAGCCAGATAATTGCTTCGACCGTGATACTCGAACAACACAGGGCGAGCACAAAAACCGGGGCTACGGGCGCTGCACCTATCAACCCCAAGGGCAGCGATGCTCTTACCCTAGGGAGACCAGCGTATCGCAAGGGCAGTCGTGCACCAGCAGCCTGCCTGTCCTCGACCGAAGAGGCGCCCCGTCCACCCCCATCGCCAGCCGCTTCGCCGCAAACGTCGCGTCCCTCACAACCCCCTCCCGGTCCACCGCTACCTGCGACGTCACCCAACCGTTCGTGCAACAAGGATCAGAATCCCAATTGCCTTTTTTGTGCAGCAGTCCACGCAAGTTGTTCTAGCTAAGAAAAATACCGCGTAAAGAATAGAATCGGCTAATTGGGGGTTAGGATTAGGGTTATAGAGTCTGCGTACCCTCCCTGGTCTAGTTTCGTAGTAACCTTACTTCTTTGCGTAGGCAGTCACTTCATAGTCTACGCAGGATTTTGTATGCAAGCTATCATATTGGATAAAGCATAGAATCGGCTAGTTGGGGGTTAGGGTTGAGTTAGAGTCTGCGTGCCCCCTCCCCACTCGTACCAACTCAATGTTCTTGGCGTGAGACAGTCGTTTTCGTAGGTCAGCGTGAGCGCACCACACAATGCTGCGGTGGCATCAACGCTCTGCGTGCCATTGCAAAGACATTCGGTGCCTTAGAGCCAGGGGAAGTGTTGCTTTTGTGGTCGAGAACCACAAAGAGAGAGAGAGAGAGAGAGAGAGAGAGAGAGAGAGAGAGAGAGAAGGGAACTTGTTGTGTGGGGACTACTGGGATTGTTTGGTAGGGTATCATGGAAGAGGCACTTGGCCGCAGGGGAGATGTCGGCAACACCCCGCTCTTGGAGAAACGGGCGCTATTGAACGTGGAGGTTTCTCACGCCTTGGCCTTGGGATAACGGAGGGCGTTCTGAGAGCTCCCAAGCGCGAAAGAGTAAAACACATTTTCCAAGTCCGTCGCGGGCTTTCTAGAGGGTGAAAACTCTCCGGAATGAGCTACCACGCAAGACGTTGAGCGTCCGATTCAAAGAAAGACAAGAACTTGGACCCTTGCAATACTACGTCCTATACATTCCCTGTTGTCTCCCAGCTGATGAGTAAGGGGCGAAGGGCTGAGCAAAATTTAGAGATTCTGAAGCGTTGGCGTGTTCTGTGTCTGCCTGCGCACTGGTGCGTTTGTGTGTTTATTCGTGATTGGTTTTCTTGATCGTCCGACGCGAAAAGTATCATTTCGGTATGGGTGAGAGAGACTGCATTGTTCAGCGCGTGGCTCATCGAGCCTTACTGAGCTGCGCCGACGAGACTTGTCGTCAAACCTAGCTGTAGTCCTCACTCGTGTGTTGCCTACAACAGGCGTCTACACCTGCGATGTTGGTGCCTTGTGGTGGGGGTCCCGCTGAATCATGCACGGGACACCACGCGAGGCTTTGTACGCGACGTAACAAACACCACCCGGGTTGTAAGTCCCTACAAAACCCTTCTATTATTTTGTTACACATACGACAAGGCATCAATGATGCGAAGACCTCACAGCGGCCGCTTTCCTATAAGGGACGGGCGGGCTATTCGTCCACAACGAACTAGGCTGTAGTTGTAATCCAAAAAATGTGGGACAACCCTCAAAAGCAACCTCAGTCAAGTCCATACAGCGTGGTGCCATCACAACTTGGGCGGGGTCGTTTCTTGAAGGTGTATAGAGCGCTGAAGGTCAAAATATCGGGACGATCGTCCGGAGAATTTCAAACAAGAATTGGAGGTAGGTACGCATATGTGCGTACGCCGGGGGTGTTTGCTCGATATAGACGAGTCTGCTTCACCGGAACGACCCTCGCAGAGGCGATCCAAAATTTCACCAACCCCTTCAACTCTATACTACCTATGCCCACGTCATCCGCTTCTGGCGAAGTCTTGAGCGAGTTCGTCACTCCTTCGAAGGTGTAAATGTATCAGCGTGGAGTTTGGTGCTTCGAGCTGCGAAACGGACTTGAATCAACAGCTATTCATAGCACGGCGTTTGTCAGGTTTAGAGCGAAGCCAGGGCGAGTCAAACGTCTGCGCGTGTCGAACATAACATGCTCGAGGTCTCTTGCTGTTTTCATAGCATGTGCCCATCTGTGTGCGGAGCACGAGTATATGAATCGCATGCCCTTGTCCCTTATGGTGCTGGGTCCCTCTCATTGTTACGAAGCATGTCTGCAAGATTGGAGAACCAGTCTAGGGATCGAGTTTCCACGTGTTTGGGTCTGCGCGGAAGGGGCTGTATGACCTACCCCCCCCTGTTGTACTCCTTCCTCAGCTGCTGCCCGCTGTGCGTGTGCATTGACCACACATACCCACAACGGCGGTACTTGTGTTGCTAGACTTGTAGGAAGGGCGAGATCCACATGGTTATCAAAGCTACCTATTTAGATGTCCAACACATGTGCAATAGTTTTCCCACTGGCCGCAGCAGCACCTGAAACTGAACCTGTTTCAGCTTTTCATGATATGTGCCGCGATAGCCATTGCAACGCAGCAACACACTCGTGCATATCGTGTCGTTCGGGGTCTTTCGTAAGGCGAGATACAGCAGAAGATACCAAGTGTGTTATGTAGAATGAAGCCTTTCCGCAGAACGGAGAAGGCACAGCAGTGTTCGGTTTCCACTCGACTTGTTTCGCGCTATATGTATAGCGGCGGGATTTTGCACCTGTTTGCCCTCGTCAGCCGTTGCTGCGTGTTGTGTGTGCATCACTCAACTACACGCTCCTTCCAGTGCTTGTGATTCGATCGGGGTCATGTGTAGCGAGATCCAGGTGGTGGGGCAAGGAAGGCTATCTTGCCCAAAAGCGGTGGCTGCATTGTTTCCTCCGCCGGCCGTGGCAGCAGAAAAACTATATCGTTTCGGCTTAACGACGAGCCCTGCAACGCCACAAAACACTCGCTCATGCAATGCGTCGATTGGCTTCTCGTAGGGAGAGATCCAACTGGTGGGGTAAAGAAGGCTTATTTGTGAACATAATACCCCACAGATGGGGTGGGTGGGTGAGATTTTTCCCCGCCGGTGGGATATATACTTCGCCGCACCAAAAATAGGATAAAAATATGAACTAGTAGTCTTTGAAAAAAAGGGTGTGCCTTGCCGTGTACTGAATGATGAATTCTCCCCATCAAGGCACTGCAAAAAAGCTGCTGGGGTGTATGCGAGCTTCTGGGTAAGCTGCTGCTGCGGAAGAGGACATTCCTCTCGTTGCATCTGATGAAAAAGAGAGCCAGCGAGGCGGGTGTGAACAATGTTCGAGCTCAAAGGGGTCGGAGGGGAAGGGATTGACAGCAGTCCCTCAATGTGCGATACGTACTGCTGTCGAACCAGGTCCTCCCAACTCTTACTACGTAATGCTGTACCCTGCGTCTTGTTGGAGTGTCCTTCGACGTATCGATCGTCGTCTCAGTCCGGAAGGATGCGCGGGGGGTACACAAGAATAACTCTCTGCTGACGCGGCCGAAGCACGGCAAGTGTCACGTGGTCACATCCCTCCAAGGATCACGAAGATTTCTCAGTAAAAAATATAGTCGTTGCTTCAAAATAAGGACCAAATCCCTGGAAACAAAAACTGCACATATGGAGGCATCCATCTAACGAACAACAGGCTCGCTCTGACGTTGTACACACCTGGACGTCGCACACACAGCCGCAGCCCGCTCCACACCCTTGCCCATGGCGCAAGAGAGAAGGCCTGCCCCTCTGCTCCTCAGCCGCAGAGGGCAACGCCGCCGGCGAGCGCAGCAAATTTTGGGGCGCTCTGGCGTGCAGGGCAAACACTTCCCGCCGTAGCGCATGGAGATACTTCATAGTGCGCGTGCGTATGTGTTGCCCGTCGTGTGTTGCTTCTTCTGTCGAGGAGCGGGGCTAGACTCACGACATACATACACCGCACGCTCTGTTGTTGGTTCCAAACACAACAAACGGCGAAGTTTTCGAAGATGACGAACGAGTACGTCACCCACAGAATCTTGGGAGGCATGCTGAGCCGGCGGGTGTCAGGGGTCAGCGGGAATATCGAAAAGTTAAAGTTCATTTTCATGGAACGAAAAAGCCTATACTACTACGAGAGACCGCCCGGGATGGTTTTTAATGTGAAGCAACAACAACAACTACAACAATGCAAGGGCATAAGTTTTTGTACGTTTTGACATTGGTGTTGCACGTCAGGGCTCAAGGAAGAAACCAACAAGCCTACCATCATAGCTGAGTCTGGAACTCGTTCAATTGATGTTTCCCCTGTCCTTGACAACCCCCCTCTGAAGATTTAGAGTCGAACACGTGTACCGAGTGCATTGTTGTTGTTGTTGTTGTCTTCACATTAAAAACCATCCCGGTCTCTCTATCCAGTACCTCCTTCTGTCTCAATCTCTCCGTACTAATCCATCACTTGACTCGGCCAATTTCCGTGGTCACAGGCTAACGTACCTAGAAAAGGTATACCAAAATAAAATGGACCCCAAGGGTCAGCAGAGCGATAAAATACAAGAAAACAAAATTTTGGTGATGGTCGGATGTACATCATGATTTCATATTAAAGGACTGTGCACCCCGAGCCAATTAAAACAAAATGCGGGGATCGGCGCCTCAGATTGGAGCTGACTCACATCAACTGAGGTGGAGTACACAGCACGCGCGACAGGCGGAAAAAGCACACGAACGGCGACTTCCCCTCATCCCAAAACATTATCACAATCTCACCTCGCCCTCATCACCTCCTCGCCCTACCAGCCCATACACCAGCAGAGACGGCCGTGCCGCATCTCATCGCCCCTACCGTCGGCACCACGGCTACTGGTGCCCCTTCCGCTTCACTTTGACGATGTGCATCTGCAAGCGAAGGTGTCTCAAATCGATAACCACGCACACCATCAACAAGAACATGCCGCCACCGCCACCCCCACCACCCAGACACGCTTCCGCCCGAGACAACAGAGGTAGGCGCTCGCCCACCGCCACGCCGCACGCTGCTGCCCACGACGGTGCCGGCGCTAGCAGGCAGGCTCCAGCGGTGTCGATCGACCAGATCTCGAGTATCCTCGACCCCTTCTTCATTGACACGTGCCAATTTTTCAAGCAACCGTCACCGCCGCCACGGCAGCAAGCACCTGCTGCAACCGTCGGCACCAACACAAACGCCGCCGCCGCCGCCGACACCACCGCCGCCGCCGCCGCCGCCGCCGCCGACACCACCGACGCCGCCGCCGCCGACCAGCCGTGGCGAATAGAGAGCGCCTTCCTGTCGGGGGTGGAGGAAACCGCCGATGAAGCTCAGAGCGATGCTGAAGAGGGTGACGCCACTGCTGGTGGTGCCGTTGACGTTTGCGGAAACGTCAACGGCGCGCGTGCGTTGCAAAACATCCTGGGCGCCGGGAGCTCCGCTTGGATGGAGACGGTCCGAGACATGGAGGCAGAGAAAAACGACATGCTGCGATTAGACGTGAGATCGCCCAACTAGATCTGGGACACGCATCCCGCCATGGTCATGTGTGTGCTTTGTTTGTTACTGTTTTAGAAGAGTAGATACGCGTAGCTACAAAGCGTCCATCCCAACCCAAAATGCCACATGTGCGGGATGTACCTGCTCTGGTTTGCTGAAAGTTGCGTGGCCGTTCCTGGATTTTTCTTTCTCCCGGTTTCGCTGTTGCGGTGTTCTTCGACTGCCTGGGTGTCACTCGGGCGGCATTTTGTTTTCTGTCGTAGTGGGGAACTGTTGGGTAGTCCACGTTAGACCTATTTCGAATTATCTGGTTGTGATTTCGAATGGTTAAACGATTATTTTTTACCTTCTTCGATTATTCTCGGAGTAGCGTCACACCTTGAGTTTGTGCGTGTGTACCAAATGCGTGTACGACAGACGCCACGCCCACCGGCAGCGTTTAGCTGTCCCCATGTAGACTATGCCAATTGTTCGATCCGGCAATGTTCAATGTCCCTCCTGGATAGGACCTTGCGAGTGTGCCGCCCAGGCCCTTGGGGATTTTTAAGTAGAGCAATCGAAACAATGTTTTTTCTGTTTTTCTGTCATCTGCTGTTGATTGTGCGCGCGCCTGATCATGTTCACCTCACCTCTTTCCTCGGCATTTTTTTTCGGTGTTGGAAGCAGATCGAGGTGGCGTGCTGGCTGGTGCCCTGAAGTCGATGCGATTTGTTCTGTTTCATACATGTGTGTAGCGTACAAGTACCCCGGTAATTGCAGACTAGGAACTCGGAGATTGTAGTGAGTTTATAATGGTGGAAGCGGGCCACCGGAGGAGGACCTCTCTGGAGGAGATGTAACTCTGGAGGGGGCGCCATATGCCTCTTCTCCCCGCACGCGTCCCGTGAGAATTGTTGTTGTTCCCTCTCCAGTGCCCCCCGGTATTTGTGTTTGTCGCTCTATGTTTATTTCGTGGTTCATATCGTTTCGGTCTAGGGGAGGTC